TCTACCACATAGAAGAAGGACTACACCAAAGGCTTCAGAACATCTTTTTACTTAGGATTCCTTAGAGGTCCTGACTACCCCTCATTGTACCACTAATCTCTTGGCATGGGCTCTAGCTGTTTATTATAGACTGTGTGTTGGTATGGTATTGAGAGTAAGCTGAATTAAGTGAAGACTGAAGAAGACATTTTGATAAGGAAAAATACCTGGCTTCTACTAGCTTTCAAGGAAAATAGGTTCTTGTGAATTAGATTTATGACACAGATCTCCTGATGTTAGCTGGAAGGAATCTTGACATCAATAAGATGCTGTTGTAACCCAGATGACAAAGAGGTACCTAGCAGCACAAACAGAATCCCATCCTAGGCACTCAAACTCCCAGCAGCACTACCTTCTCATCTGACCTCCCAGGCACTGACTACTTAACCCACTTCTCTTTACTATGAATCATGAACTGCCTTCTCTTCATTCTCTGCACACATTCACATACATGCATATGTTTTCCCACAAGAGAAGATACCGCCTCTCACACCTATGTGCTCTCCACATATAGCAGGCCCTAAATAAATACACATTGATCTGTTGAAGCATCTTGGTCCTATTTTTTTCCATCTTAAAAAACTAGCATGTTCTTGTGTCCAAGCAGTTTATTATCTAGATTTTAATAACAACTATTTAGCTGGGGCTCAAGTATTAATCATATTTGTTTCTCGTTTATTATGTGGTACTTAATTTAGGCTGAAGGTCTTTGCACTTGCAACATCAAAAACAAAATATAAATAGCAAGCCTTATAGCTTTAATTCTCTTTCTCTCTGCTGGTCTGCTGGACCAAACAACTCCACAACAAAGTATCTGCTTCCCATAAATCAGAGTAGACAATTTTTCTCCAACTATGTTTTAATTCATGGGTAATAATTCTCTACAGCAGGTGAAGCTGAGGGGGCCTAGAAGCCAGAGACAAAGAAGGCATGATGGAATATTAAGTAATTTTTATTTGAATTTGTGCAACTGAGTTGTAGGAGTTAAAGAGATAAAATACCATTAATTGAAGCTAGGTGAACAGGCTGCATAATGGCATTATTATCAGATGCATCTAGAACCATCTCCTTGGCCAACTGTAATTCAGTCTAAAACAGACAGTTTCTCACCTGAATTATCTTATTGCATTGGCTTAATTCTCCATTTCATCATGAAGCTCTTTTCCCATTATCTGTTTCAGAATCCTGAATTAAAAAAAATAAATAAATAACCAAACTCACTGCCGTCAAGTCAGATCCAACTTATATTGACCCTTCCTTGGGTTTCCGAGGCGGTATCACTACAGAAGTAGATTATCCAATCTTCCTTCTGAGGAGTGGCTGGAGAATCCTGAATATGACCTTGATTACTCAACGACTGTAGTGTTACCTAGGACTTGACCTGTGCCACAAAATCTCTCATCCCTTCACATAATATGCTTACTTTGTAATGTTTGGAACATTGACAGCCAGAAAAATTACTGAAAATGTTTCGTAATAGGTCTCATGGATCTTACTAAAATTTCATTTTTATATGTTTTATAAACATTTATTAAGAGAAAGCCTCTAACTTCAAAAGGCTTCAATTACAAAAAACACTCACATGAGCAGATGTCTTACTCACTTGCCAATCCCAGATCATCCCTCCTGTTTCTGCATCTCAGAAAAGGGTGGCACTAATTGCCCAGTTAGGAGCTCTGGTGGCATAGTCCCTAAGGCATTTGGACTGCTAACCAGAAGGCTGGCGGTTCAAACCCACCAGTCACTCCTTGGAAGGAAGATGGGGTAATCTACTTCTGTAGTGATATTGCCTTGGAAATCCAAGGAGGGGTCATTATGAGTCGGGTGTGAGTTGATGGCAAATAATAACAACAACAATTGCCCAGTTGTTCAAACCTGAAATGTATAAATTATCCTTCATTTCTCCCTTTATTTACAGTCTATTTCCATGGTCATCAACTAGTTCTGCCAACTAAACTCAAAACCAAACTCACTGCTGTTGAGTCGGATCTGACCCGTAGCAACCCCTCCTTGGGTTTCTGAGGCAATATATCAAGGGAAGTAGAGTAGATTGCCTGACTGTACATCTAAAATCCATCATTGTTTCTCCATCTCTATGGCCACCACTCAGATCCAAGCCACTAACATTTTTCACTTGGACAACATAGTCCACAGAGACAATATTCTATATCTTACTTTGGTAAGAAGTGACTGGGTTCTTAACAGCTTGCAAGCAGCCATCTAAGGTGCAACTATTGGTTTGTCCCCATCCAGAGTAAAGAAGAGTGAAGAAACTTAAAGACACCTGGAAACAATCAGTCCACAGGTCTAATGGATCACACGAACTTCAGCCTCCACAACCATGACACCGGAAGAACTAAATGGTACCCAACTACCACTACCAACCACTCTAAACCAAAACTAAACTAAACTCACTGCTATGAAGTTGATTCAGACTTATAGCGACCCCCTTTGGGTTTATAAGGTGGGGAAATCTTTACAGAAGTAGATTGTCAAGTCTTCCTTCTGCAGAGTGGCTGGTGAGTTTGAACTGCCAAACTTCTGGTTAGCAGTCAAAGGCCTTAAAGGGATCATATTAGGAGGTCCTCGATAGAGTGGGAATTCTAAAAATGTGGAATAAAACTCAAAATCATAAAAAATACCAGGCTTACCAATCGGACAGAGACTGGTGGAACCTAGACAACAATTGTCCTTGGTCACAACTTCAAACCTTGAACTGGCTTGCTCAATTTTTAGATAAACAACAGATCTACAAGATGAACAATAACACTAGCAAGGTATACATTCCTTAGATCAAGCAACTATTCAAGATCAAAAGGGAAGCATTTGCCCCAGGATAAACTTCAGAAGGCAAGAAGTGTTAGGAAAGATGGAAAAATAGAAATGAGAAACACCAGGAAGAAATAGGATGAGTGATGTTACATTGAGGGGACTACAATCAACAACATGAAATAAAATGTGTATCAACTGTTGAATGGAAAATCAATTTGCTCAGTAAACTTTCACACAAATCACAGTAAAAAGTTAAAAAAAAAAATAGTATCACTTTTAAAAGAACTACGTATTTTCCCATGTTTGTGGGGAGAAAAAAGTACTTTGACCTGTCTATACAAAGAGAAAGAGGAGCTCAGGTTTGGTGACCCTGTGTCCCAGAGGAAAGACTGACTACAGATCATGTTTTGTTTTTCAAAGGCAGTGAATGCAACATTACAGTTCCAAGTAGTTTCAAAATAAAAGGCACCACCACTGAGGATAAGGAAATGAGATACCTGGATTCCAGGATAGAAAATAGGTATAGAGCCAGGAGACAGTTCTAAGCAAGTACTCTTCATATCATAGCACAATTTAATTAGATAAACAATAGTTAACGGATGGAATTACACTATTTAAACAGAAACTAACCCTAAGGACACACATATTATATGAAACTTAAACAAAACAAATTTATGAATGATTAATTCTCAGTCACCACAAAAGGCTACCGTTAACACTATTTTAAGGAATTGAGACCTACATCAAAACATGCCTTCCACAGTAGAGATAATCCATTCAGTTGCTCTGAGAGTGTTTTCACTTTTCAGGGGTCTTACAAATGGCTTACTTTAATGTAGATTTATTTAATGAGTACAACTCTACTCAGTAACCCAAGATGGAAAGGCTGAATAGCAAGACAAAGTCTAACAACAAGGAGGAAACTCCATAGGCTTCTAGCAGTCCTGTGAGGAGGCAGGCCCCAGGAGACTTCAGCCCTGGTCGTGGTTGCACTAACTTGCTTTTTTTTTTTTTTTTTTTTTTTTAAGTCTAAGAAAGGCATAGCCCTGGGCCTTAGCTTGCTCCCCTGTAAAATGAAGAACGCAGAAACGTGATCCAAGATCCCTGCCAATTTTAAAACTCTACAATAACAAAGAAACTCCTTGCAGTTACTTGCTTTCCACAAACCACAGCCGAAGAAGTCAGTGCCACTGAGCACTGTTTAGTATGTGTTAGAAGTGCTGAGCTGTGGGCCACAGGTATAGAGCTGAATCAGCCCCCAGCCTGGAGGACAATAGGGATGGATCATGATCAGAGCATGGGTTTCAGAATTGCAAAGATCTGGATTTATATCATAGCTCTATGTAAAGTGAGGGTAAGGTTGTTTATGAGAATTAAGAGAGATAATGAATGTGAAGTACTAAGCACAGTGCCTGGTATAGAGTAACTACAAAATAAACGGCAGTTCTAGCAGAAGATGTTGTTGTTGCTAGTTCCATTTTACTTATTCAGCTAGTACATTTATTTCTATTATTTTATACCAGATTCTACTGGTAAAAAAGATAAAATTATAAAACTTAACAAAACTGGAAAGGATCCTGACAGTCTTTTCATTTAGTTCCTTGCTTTCAGACATTTTCATTACCACAGTTATTTTACTGATCAAGATACCAAGGACCTTAAAGCTGACCACTCAAGGTCACCTAGCCACTAAGTCCATTTAAAATATCATTATGTGTGCCTTCAGTAATCCCCTAGTGTTTGAAAGTAGTGATAATAATTCTCTGGATTACTTGATACTAAGAATCAAGGCCATCTCTTGATTATAGGCTACGACAAATAATTTATAAAATGAGATTAAAGTGAGTGCATAAGCCAAAGGGAGATTATAGTGAATGATCAAAGTGACAACTCTAAAGATTAGATAATTATGAAAATTATAATGATGCTTGTGACAGCCCATAGTAATGCTTATTATGATGTTAAATGAAAAATCAGAATACTGATTCTATTCATGTTGCGATCATAACTGAGTAAAATTATATACATATATATCAAGGATTGGAAAAGAAACTGGAAAATGATTATGGCTGATTGGATAAGGAGGGGCAATTGCAGTTCACTTTTTATCGAGTGATTATAATGTAGTTGGCATAAGAAACATTACAAGAGAAATAATCACAGGACAGGAGCTGCTGCTGTTCACTTACCCTGGGTTATACAACATGACCGCAGAGAGGTTCTCACAGGACTTGGAGAGGTCAGTCATAGACAAGCTGAAGGAGGACAGAAGTCCACTCTAAGAGCAGAGCACAGAGCAGAGCTGTTACTTTCCTGGTCAAGGGAACGCCAGTATTCTTGACTCACTACTTTGAACTGGAGAGGGAACGGCAATGAGGGGTATGCACTCCTAATAAGCACATACAACAATCCGGGACAACCGTTGACAAGTCAGGGACAGTCAGGCTACGGATGCTTCTCAACCCCAAATCCTAAACTAAGCATAGCATAGCCTTGGTATTCTAGGGCTAGAAAGATTCACCTGGAATTTCAAGGCCCTACTGATCTCCCCCACCAGGCTGTATTGAGCTAGAAGGAAGGGGTCATGGTGGCTGAGTCAACCTAGTTCCTTAGCAGGCAGCAATCTCCTGTCAGTAGCACTCAGATACTGAAATACGCTTATTGAGTGATAAAGATAGAGGACAAGGTCAAGAGACCAGTAAGTAACAGTCAGTCCTATTTCGCTCCCATGGAAAACTGTTGGCAAACATATTTTCTCTTAACTCATTCTGCAACAGTGCATCAAAAGATCAAAGGCTTGACTTGAGCAGCCTAGAAAAGCAGCATTCTCTTAACTCCTATCTTAGGCACTGGCCACCTCAAGTAGTCCTTTAAAAAAGCTTGCCAGGATGACCAGCTGGGTAACTCAGTGGTAGAGACAAATGCTTCCTATTGGCAGGTCAAGGCCACAGCCCCTGCTAACTCCCTGCTGAGGGAAAGAGTTAGAGACTATTTCTTTCAGTCTCAGTTTCTTATTTCAATCATCTGTACCATGGAAGTAGTAAACACTATTGCTCAGAGGAAGTAATAAAATATAATAGAAGTTTTGCTTGTGACTGGCATATAGAAATGTTAGCTGTAGTCCTGATTATCATCACCAGTCTAAGGACCAGCCACAATGCCAAGACAAACACTGCTCTCCCTCTCGTTCTTTTTTTTGTCTCTGGACTTTAGACAAACTCCTCCATATAGCACTTAAAATGCCCTTTAGATGTCCCCTTCTCACCAAGCCTAGAATCTTACACAAATGCCCTAAACTCACCCTTTCTCTGCTTCACACTCCAATAGAAAATAATATTTACTATAGCTGAAAATAAAGATGGAGATTTTTGGATGACTATAATTCTGACATTGGGTTAATTTCTAAAATAGATGTTGATTAAGTGGCAGTCACTCTCCACTTAATGTAAAATGATGCCCACTCCTTTTGGAGGGAGTTAGAGAAGAGGGACTAGAAAGAACAGTTTCTCCTTGCCTGCTCAGGACTTCACATACTTGTTTTCCTACTTCATCTGTCAATAATATGCTGGGAAGCAAATCCTTAGAATCAATCCAGCATATAAAACTATTTTTCAAGTGTTTCAGTACTCCAGAAAGCCAAACTGTTGGAAACAGAGCAGAGACTACTCCTTGCCCCTGCCAACACCACCACAAGCCACAAGTTCACATCTACACATTTCATGCTGCTCACCTTTCTCTTCTCCCTGAGCTTGGCAGCTTCCTTGGGATGGTTAAAGCGAAACATATTGGTTCTTCCCAAGAGTATTACAGCACCTAAGAACACACAAAAACAGTAAGAAAAAAAATAAATGGTTGGCTGAGTTGGCAATATCATAGTAAGGAATTCTACAGTTGTAATGTAATTTCAAGTGCATTATAAAATAGTATTAACAAGGGAAAGCTTTAATCTCATAAATCAGCTTAGATACTTGTCATTCAATCAATTGCAACTCATAGTCTCCCCCTGTCTATCAGAGTAGAATGTTCTCCATAGGGTTTTCAATGGCTGATTTGTTGGATGTATATCACAGGCCTTTTTCCAAAGCATTTCTTGGTGGACTCAAATCTCTAACCTTTCAATTAGCAGTCAAATGTATTAACCATTTATACTACCCACCAATTCCTAAAATCAGCTTAATACAGCCTATTTTAAATCTGTGAATTTTTTTTTTTTTAATCTGAGTGTCACAATACTACTATTACCCAAAGCAGAAATGATGGCTCTAGGCATTAAAACATAGCATGAAATGTAAAAGTTAATATAAAGATTGATTCTTCTAAAAAAATCAAAAGTCTAATTTTGTTTGTTTTAGAAGAAAAATAAGAGACACTGTAATTAAATACCAAGCAAAGCATATGGTTGCAAATTTAGGGCATATTTATTAATGCCTGTAAAGGCAGAGATCTCAAAAGAAACTTCTTTCAAAAGAAAATACAGTGAAATTGGCAGAGTATAAATACTCACTGTCGTGGAGTCGAATCCACTCATAGAGACCCCTCCCCTTGGGGTTCCAAGGTGGTAGAACTACAGAAGTAGATTGCCCAACCTTCCCTCCAAGGAGGGGTTGGTGGGTTTGAACCACCAGCCTTCTGATTAGCACTCAAATGCCTTAGGCACTATGCCACCAAAGCTCCCAGAGTATATACAGCTGTTATTAAAATCTCCCTCGGAATCGGACCAGAAAAAAATTGTATGCATGCAATATATATCTATTTCCATGTGAGAACACTATTTCTTGTTAACATTTAGATGGCCACCATAGACATAAAAGAAAGAATCATTTTTAGTGACTAGGTCCCTAAGGCATTTGACTGCTAACCAGAAGGCTGGCAGTTCCAACCAACCAGCCATTTCTCAGAAGGAAGGTTGGGCAATCTACTTCTGGAGTGATACTGCCTTGGAAACCCAAAGAGGGGTGGCTATGGGTTGGATCTGCTTGACAGCAGTAAGTTTGGGTTTGGTTTAGGGTCCTGATTATTCAGAATACAACTGTACAACTGATAAATAACTCAAGGTAAATGCCCAATGGGGATAATCATAGGGAAAAAAGATCATTGGGTTGGTAGCCAAAGTTTAGCTATATTAGATGGATGGATGGATCAATAGATCAATAGGCAGACAGGCACAGACAGACAAATGCTTTCTAAGGTCAGAGCTGTATAAAGCTAGCATGGATGTCAAGGAGCTCCCTGGGCGTGGTCTAAAGTGACATGAGTTAAGAGAGCATTGTGGCCATTAAAAACAAAAAGACCCTTGTACTTTTGCTTCAGATTTCTTCATTTTGAATCTTAATTACTTTAGAGAAAACACACATAGACAAAATATAAATATACTACAAAAGCACCCACAGTGAAGGAGAGATGTTCATTTATGATAGGGGCAGCCCAAGAAGCAAAGTTCTGTTGATGCTGAATAAGAAGTTAGGGAAGCAGCGTTGGGAAGTTCTTACTCCACTGCCTAATTTAAGAACAAATAAACTTGTTTGTATAGGAGGGAAAGGGAGAGAATTTTCATGTGACATAAAATGTCTTAAAAATACTTAGAGGAGTTCCGGCAAGATGGCGGACTAGGCACAAGGACTGCACAGACACACTTCAACAAAGAAAAGGGAAACCAATTAACACAGACACAGAAGATAATCTTGGACCCCTGAACCTTGAAGGGAAGGATACAAAAGTGGACTAAACCCCAACTAGCAGAAGAATTTGTGTGAAAATACCAAAAAAGGAGACACA